TGTGCACGTGTGCGCGCGCAGGCACGCGCGTATGGGGTGCATGCATGCGCACGCACGCACATGTGTGTCTGTGTGCGTTGGAGGGAGGCGTGTCACGAGCGCGCGCACAAGGAAGAGGGGCGAAAGAAACATGCAAGCGGTGGCACGGCCCGCTGGACCCCGTCGCAGGGGCCGCCGCCCACCACTGCTTCTGCGCCGTGTTGCGCGAGTGGTGCATAAGCATCATCACGCTCTTCCCCTTCTCCTTCCCCAGCTCCACCGCGGCAGCTTCCTGGCTGCTGCTGGTGTCACCCATCATGTGGAGGTACGTCACCAGGGGGAACAGTATCTCCCACAGGCAGTACCTCCAGGCGGCGGCGTCGAAGCGGGACGCCTGGCCGCCGATGGACAGGAACAGCGTGCGGACGCCGCTGTTGCGGGCCTGTTTGTGGGGCATGAGGGCAGGCGGTCTTGTGAACAGGTCGCATAAGACGCGTAGAGTGGCCGGCTGGGGTGCACGTGAAATTGAATATGAAGCACGACAGAAAGAGGGGGAGCAGAGGCGTCTCTGCAAACAATGGTTTGAACCTCTCCGTGACGCGCGCCTACTGCACGCCGTCGGCGACGGTGCAGGCGCCCAGCGCGGCCCGCACCTCTGGCCGCGCGTCACTGCTGAGCTGGCGCAGGTGGGTGAACACCCGCAGCAGCTGCTGCGTAACCTCCGCATCGCTCATGTCGTGGCGGCAGCTGTGATCCGCCACACCCCCGTCGCCGCGGCCGGCGCCGCCGTCCGCCCCGGCCCCAGACAGCCCCGGCACGCCCAGCCCGAGCGGCCCGCCGCCGCCGCCGCCGCCGCCGCCAAAGCTCGCTGATGGCGCCAGCGGCCGGGCCGCGTCCCCGGCGTCGGAGGGACGGCTGCGGCCGAGGGTGTCTGTGACGTGCCATAGGATGCCTATGGCCGTGAGGGTCACGTTTATGAGGGCGCTCTGCTTGGCGAACAGCAGGAGGACTTCCAGGGCTCGCTGCATGTGCTCCTTGGGCATGATGGTCAGCAGCTCGCTGGGGTTGAGGGGGGAAGGGGGAGGGCAAGAAGCGTTTCAATTAAGGAAAGCCGGGAGAGGGGGGCAGGGGCGCACCCAAAGGGGCCAGGCAGCGGTTGGTGCTGACAGAGCATGCATGCCAAAGCTGCATGGTGCAGCACTGTCGCTGCTTGTCCACCTAGAATACTAGGCATCCCCCAAATCACCCCAATACGTCGTAAACATGGGCGCAAAGATAACACACACACACACACACACACAGAGAGAGAGAGAGAGAGAGCAGCGCACACACGGATGCACGCCGAGCCCGCACCTGCATATCGACTCCACCGACTGGAAGGCCGTGCTGATCGTCGCCGCGTCGTTCCAGCTGGGCACCGCCTCCAGCAGCCTCAGCAGCGGCACCCACCCCGCGCTCAGGTGCTCCCCGTGGCGCTGCAGCACGTGCAGCGCCACGCGCAGCAGGCCCTGCCGGACGTCGGGCTCGCGCTCCTCCTTGTACACAGACTCCAGAGCCACCAACAGCATGTGCTCGATGCCGCCCGCCGTCAGCGCCGCCGCCGCGGCGCCTGCGGCCGGTTGGGCGCCCGACGGGCCCCGCGCGGCGGGCGGGGTAGCGGGTGCGGTGGCCGCAGGGGCGGCTGCGGCGGCGGCGGCGGGGCCGAGGGCGCCGGTGAGGAGGCGGTCGAGGGCGTCGATGGCGGCGGCCCTGATTTGGGGGACGCCGCTGTGCAGCAGCTCCACGATGTGCGCCAGGAAGATGCCCCACAGGTCCTGCGAGGGTTTAGGGTTGGATGTTGTTAGCTTGATGCTAGAAGGGACGGCTGGAGACGCTGTCAGGATGCGACGGGTGGGCGGCGGGGTGCTCGACGTGGGCGTGGTTGTTGGGGGTTGACAGATGAAGGGGTTGGCGCATTGACCATGCATCATGAAGTGCACATGCACGGCCCAGCCAAGGGGTCGGTGGCAGAGGTCGTGCAACTGGTAGGGAGCCCAGCCCAGAGGGTTTTAAGGCGCAACGGGCCAACGAGCCGGCAGCGCGGGCGGCGGGCTTGACAGCATTTAGGCGCCGCGGTGTTTGCGGGTGAGGCTGAGCAGCTGGGTGAGCGGGCTGCAGATGACGGGGGAATGTGATGTACTCAAAAGGGTGGAGGGCAGCGGCGCTAACCCCACAAGACGGCCGCAGCCGAAGGCAGAGGGATTTGGCCAGGCGCCTTGAGCCGCCCACCTGCAGCCGCCCCAGGTTGTTGAGCAGGACGTCCGTCATGCGATGCAGCAGCGACGCCTGCCCCCTCGGCGCCCCGCCCCAACCCCTCCGCCCGCGCCCGCGCCCGCGCC